GGCTACTAAGCTAGTAATTAGTAATTAACGTAACAAACTTTTTTTGTTTCATTTGTGTATTTTTTCGAGGTGAAAAAGAATGGAGTTTTGATGGAATATCAACTATAGAAAATATAATAAGAAAAGCAGAAAAACATGCTATATCGAAAACATACTTGAAAAATCAAAAACAATTTCATCTTTTGGGAAAAATTCGTATTGAACATGCCATGTCAGATTCATATTAATATTTATATTAATTTGTTTGTTATTTTATCAGTTTTAATTTATATCTCTGAAATCTATATCTATAAAATAAATATTAATTAATTAAAGTTTGAATTGAATTTGTATATACCTAATATATATATATATATATATATATAAACGTATCACAATACTGTATGGAAGAAACTATGTACAATCAATTTTTTAGTATCTAGTTTAAATTAAAAACTTAAAATGAAGTAGAATAATTTGCTATCGAAAATTTAATAATAACCAATAGTTACACAATAATTAAGTATCCCCGTAAATTTTATTCACGTACCGCTACTGGTCTGATATTTACTTATCGGGTAATACATACGAAATGGTATTAAGTACACAGGTAACGGGTATTAAATACACGTGTAATTGTAAAAAATACACGTGTATTGAAAACACGGATATTAATAGATTTAATACACGTGTACACGTAACGTGGGTACACATGTACTCTAATAACCGTGTACGACTACGACCCCTAGTTATTAACTTGATTAATAATTATTGTTGGTAATATTAATATTTATAGTTTATATGTCATACATTACCGGTATTAAACGTTAATAATTTACGAAGTCAATATCATACATAATATTTAATATTATATAATATTATGACAACTTTTATCATTCTTTTTTTAAATTTTATGATTCTATAAAAAAAAAAAAAAATATTTAGCGTTGCATTGAAATAATTAAAAAGTTTTAATACACAAAAATATTATAAACTACCAAAAATATGAGGGTCGCTCAAAATTGGGGCTGGGTGACTAGTCACTCAGGAACCCCCCTAAATCGAGCCTGGTACCACGGTTAAATATGTGAAATCTTATATTGCATGGTTTTGCATGTTTTTGTATATTTGGCATATTAATGCACATTTCTATTTTATCGGGTATATTATACAAAATTCTATTAGAATCTATCAAAAATCTAAATGGAAAATATGTATAAAATTAAAAATAGAAATTGTATAATCTTTTTTCATCTTCATGACACTCGTATATTTAATGAATAAATTTGTTTCAAAAGTTTCAGATTTAAAACGAATTATTGACAAAGACATACATTATACGCAGTTCATGAAGGCTCAAGAATATTATTAAATAGTATTTAAAATCTATTTTTTTTTAATTGTGACATTAAAAAATAAAATATAGCTATAAAAAAAATGAAAGGATAATTCATGTTATTTCAAAATTTTTTTATGATTTTTTTAGATGAACATTTTTTAAGTACATAATTTTAGATATTTAGTGCATATAAATGTATGCTTATTTAGGCATTTTTTAGAGCATGAACTTACGAACCCTGTTTATAACTATACCACAATATTAGATTGATCTATTAAAATAGGTATAGAAACTATAAAACTATTAACCAAGTTAATAGGTAAATGATATTAACTGTAGTAAAACGTTATTAGTTAGAAATTCATATAACACAGACCAATTAAATACTATGGATTCTATTAACTGAACATTTAGAAATAGTTAAATGTACAATAGCTAGGTAGTTAATAGCTGGGTGGGTATAATATCAGATTTTGAAGAAATTTTAATTGGTACATGCCACGAATGTAACGAGAAAAAAGAATTACGGGGCGGTGAGGAAGAGATTGTACCGTATACACAGTGGTTAAAGTGGGGAGACAATGGGGGACGGAGTCCCCCTTCTTATTTAAGGTAAGTATATGCGTCCTCTTTAATTTAAGTCACCAAAATTCTGGGTGAACGCTTAATGGCATTGGTCACTAAAATACAGTATTGAATATACAATACTTATTATCAGTGGCATGGCGAAGCAGTTTTTTTTGAGCCGCGGCTCCATTCATATGTGGGGGTGGGTGTAGGTGGATTTGTAAAATATTTTTTTTATAAATTATGAACTTGGCGTCTTAACATATCAGCGAGTTTATTCATAATAATCTAGGAAAATGTAATTATTGGTGTATCGTATAAACAATGTATAAATATTGTGTGGTATATAAGTAGATAGTTTAGTAACTACAACGGTAACATGGCATAATAAAGTATAAACTAATTAATACACTATTTTGTTTTATAAATAAAACAGATCGTTATCAGATGGTTATTCCCCATTTACCCAAAACAGCCGAAATGACTTGTGCCTGCCCGCACAAGTGCATGACAATATTATTATTAGTGAGATTATTACTTATATTAGTATTAACATGGAGTATTTATAAATTTTAATCAATGGTATTAACTATTAATATCAAATATAAAATATCAGTGGTCAATGTATTATTTCGCGATCGACTGTTATTAATGCAATAACCGTCAAGCAGAAACCTACTTTTAGTAGTTTATAATTAATAATTTATTTATTTATTTATTTATTTACGTTTGCAATTATAACCGTTATTTAAAAATGAATTCATTGTATCCCAGTTGTGGTAAAAAACGTGAATCTATGAACAGTGTTAACTGGATTCGCCATAAAGAATCTTGTCAAAAAAAAATAAAGCCTGTAAAGAGAACGGCTTCCAGTTCTATTTCAGATTATTTTAAACGTACGGAAAGTGATAGAAAATTTCAAAAAATTGAAAAATCAAGTAAGTTAAGCATTTCATTATATTAATTAAATTCATTATTCATATATACCTATTTATTTTCCATCATACCAATAATTATATCATAATATAATATTGTAATAAATAATAATTAACATTGATAATGTATTAACATTTTTAAGATGATTTTAACCCAAATGATATCGGCTTGATGAAGTCTAGTTTGCCTAACAATCAACAACTTTTAAGTGAAATTAATGTGGATGGTAATCAATAATCAATATATTTGTTTTATTCTTATTTTTATTAATTTAATTAATTTATTTAATTTAGACATTTTGAATATTAATACAAAGCAAAACTTGGTCGACTCAACTGAAACCATACAAATTTATCCGCCAACAGGTACCTAATTTATGAATAAATTAGTCTTATTATTTTAGTTTAAATTTAACTATAGTTGAAGCTGGTAAGTAATTAGTATTAATAATACTAATTACATAGAGATTATTTTCACTTTAGGAAATCTGTGTCCAAATTGTTGTCCAATGTTGAAAAAATGTTTAAATTTTTTTATGAAGAAATTATGCATTATTATTATTATTATTTTGTATGTGAATATTATGATTACTTTCTAAATAGTTTTGACAATACCTAATTTTATTTTAATAATTATTGTATGATTATTATTAGTATTGTGTAAAATGCAACTTTAATTAATATAAAAATATAATAGTATTTAATAATTTACGCAGTTATTTCGGTTGTTTTTTTTAATTTTTATAACATGGCATATGTAAATTAAATTATTTCCCCAGATTTACTAAGTTATTTATTAAGTTATTTAGTTATAGTTACTTGGTACATTAAATATCAACTATAATAGTATGTCTATATATGTGTCCAGTGATTGGCTTTATATTTTAATATAATTTATCTATAATTTAAAACTCTAATTCAATGTTGAGTAGCTGTTTAGGAAATAAAAGTTGATTTTTTTTATGTGATTTAAAATAAAAAGTTACAACATAAAGAATATGAGATATGGATATTTTTATTAAATAATAGGAAGTAAAGTGAAGTGTATGTATTATATTTATTTGTAACATTTTCAATGTATTTTGAATCATTGTGTCATTATATCAACTATTCAAATTTAGAATTTTATTCTTAATTTATTATTATAGACCTAATTTTAATAGTTAATTTAATAATGTTATTGATTTACTATTTATTAATAATCTGGTTTCTTTAAGTTTAAACTTGCTTTATATGTTATTTATAAATAATAACTAACCTAATAAAAATCTTAGATTTTTCATTCATTTTTAAACAGTATATTATGTATTTACCTATAAGATCAATTTGTATTAAATAAATAAATGCATTTGCCAATCAGGTAAAAACCATTTCATTAATTCATGATATTTATATTTTTAAATAGATTTGATGCATAATATCAACTTTGAGCCACAGCAAAATGTAGTTCAAATAGATACGTTAAGTTTAGAACAATTTCCCAATGATCCCGCTGTGATGAACTCTAATGTATCTAGTGAACTTTTTGCTCATTTTGCATCTTTAGAGCCTAGAGCCATGCCAACCTTCCAAATCACAATTAAGTGGTTGTATATTTCCTACAAAACAACAAGGTAATCGTGTAAGATCATTTCATGAAAAATATTATTTTAAAGAAATTTCACTAGGAAGTTTTGTAAAACGCAATTGGCTATCAATTCTCCTTCTACCGATTGCGTCTTTTGTATAGTTTGTAAATTGTTTGGATTGCCAAATGGAAAACATGATCAATTTTCAAAACATGGAACTAATGACTGGAGACATATTTCATATAAAATTAAAGTACACGAATCTGCACCAGAACACTTACAGTCTGAAATACGCCAAGTTATGTATACAAGTCAATTAAGGGTTGATGTGCAGTTATTATCATCATCAAATTCACAGGTTGCAGAAAATAGAGAAACTGTTAAAATAATTTTTGAAGCTTTATTGTACTTAGCTCGGCAAAACAATGCATTTCTAGGTCACAGTGAACACTGGGGTTCATCTAATCAAGGTAACTTTGTAGAACTTGTCAAACTTTTAGCTAAATATAATCCTTTACTGTCGGCTCATTTATCCAAAATTCAGAATGCAAAAAAAAAAAAAACAGATTAACATTTTTATCAAATGTTAGTCAAAATAATATGTTGAGTGTTATGGGTGAAATGGTACGAGAAGAGATTTTGAGGAGAGTTAAAAAAGCAGAAGTATTTTCAATAATTATAGACACAACTACTGATGTTTCAAACTTGGAGCAGTTTTCATTAGTCCTACGTTTTGTTAATGAAGAAGGTCAAACTGAAGAGAGACTTGTTGCTATGAAAGAAGTCCCTGATTCCACAGGATTGTGAATGTTTAATGTTTTTTGTGATATTTGTAGTAAATATAATTTAGATTGGACAACAAAACTATGTGCTCAATCTTACGATGGGGCTGCATCAATGCAAGGACAATATTTTGGTCCTCGATCTTATGTCCAAGAGAAAAACCCAAATGCTATTTATATTTGGTGTTTTGCACATATCTTAAATTTAGTTGTTGTGGATACATGTGATAAATATTCAAATATTAGAAATTTCTTTGGAGATGTTCAACAATTGATCACATATATGAGGGCAAAAAAACGAACAGCCATATTCCTAGAGCAACAAATTAAATGCTATCCTTCTGAAAGGCCATGTAGAATGAAAAACTTCTCTACCACCCGTTGGACTTCTCATGATCGTGCATTATCAGTATTAAGTAAAAAGTATTTAGCTATTCTAAAAACATTAGAAGAGTTAATTAACTCAACTGATAGAGAAACTTCTTCAACTGCATCAAATCTCTACAGAATAATTACTTCATTTAAGTTTATTTTGAATTTATTTTTAATGCAAAATATTTTATCTTGTACTACTCCATTATCAATTTATTTGCAATCTTCATCTATTGATTTCATTCAGGCAATTACTATGGTGGATGTTTGTGCTAAAAAATTATCTGAATTAAGAAATGAGCAGAGCCTTAATGATTTAATTACAAAAACAAAATATTTTGTTAATGAAATTGGTTTAGTTGAATGTGAGTTGCCAAATATACGTAGCCGTCGCAGGAAACTGTTGCCTGGAGAAATTGTTTCTGATAAAGTTATTACAAATCCTTATGAAAAATTTAAAATTGAAGTTTATTATGTAGTATTGGATCAAGTAAATACTTCTATTATAAGTAGATTTGAAGGTGCACGAGATATATTGTCTAACTTGTCATTATTGACTTTTGATCGGTTAAAGGCAACTAGAGAAGGAACTGAAATTCCTCAAGATAATTTTATTGCGTTTATGAATTGGATTCCTAATTTAACTCTTGATAATTTAAAAATGGAATATACCATATTTGCGAGTAGTTTTATTAACTTATACAATGGTATACATTTTTCCAGTATTAACTCAAATAAGGATCTGATCATTGATAGCGAAAATGAAACTAAATATGATTCTGACTCATCTAATGAAATAGACAGTAATGAAGAAACTTAAAAAAAACTTTCAGCAATTGAAATACTTAAAATACTTTGTTCTTA